TATTATTAGCAACTCAGCTAAAAAAGCTAGTTTCGAGGGTGTCTACGCTTAACAGCCAAATACCTCTATTTGGCCCTAGATAGGGCCCCGTAGAGCCCTCGTAGAGACGTCGTAGAGCCCTCGTAAAGGCTGCTACTAACAATAGTATAAAGTTATTCTATTAATCTATATAGTCTATAGACATATATGTGCGGAGAGAGGCGCGCTAAGGCTTAATTAGGAAGGTATATCGAGTGTAAAGGATTGATCCGTAATAATTACCTATAAAAAACAGAGAAAGGCCATATCCTTATGATAAGAAGTATCGAAATATCGGAAAGAAATAGAAATAACGTGCTAATTAGTGGTGTGAATTCCATAACATCTTCTACCGTAGTGAAATTTTTCGAATAATGAAATAGCTATAGACATCGAACGGTTTCAATTCGTTTAAATATGTATGATTCGAGATTATTATATCGAATTATTATAAATATTTAATAAAAAGTAGATACTTTAATATTACGTCGGATTTATTTATTTTAAAAAACTATATATTCTAGTAAACTATATTTTCTAATAATAGTAAATAGTTATAGCTAGACTTTTATTACTTTTATAATTTAGCGTAACTTAACTATATAGCTTTCTAGAATTAATCTACTTTATAACTACTTTTAGTAATTTTAGAATATATTAACTTTCTATTACGAGCGTATTCTTAATATACTACTTAGCTCTATAACTAGCGGGCCTTAACGAAGATATTCTCTATTATATTATATCTCCTTTCTATATATATAGTTCGATAGTCTTATTATTCTTAATCTATCTTACTTATACTAATATCGTACTTATACTAGTTCTAATACTTTCTTTCTACCATAACTCTAATAACTTCGATTTTAATATCGCAAAAAAAATAAAAAGATAAAAAGATAAAAAGATAAAAAACGTTGAATACGATGTTCGAATAAAACTAGATCTTTTTTATCTTTTTATCTTTTTTCGCGATACTAAAGTTAGAATCTAATTATAATTACTATAACTATTATAACTAATAGAACGATTATAAGTATTATAGCTATTACTATTACTTAATTAAAAATCTATTATTATAGTTTAATTTTAGTACTTACTACTACGTTATTATAGTCGTCTTCTATAGATTTAATATAGTATATAAATAAAAACCATCTCTTTTTACTCTTTTCTAATTTCTTTAATTGAAATCTAAATTGAAATATAATTAATATAATTATAATTATAATTTATTTAACTAATTTACTATTTAAAAGAGTTATTATTAAATTTAATATTATAATTATAATTTATTTAATATAGTATAATAGATACTTTAATTAAAAATAGAATATATCTATTTTTATTATAGTTATATATATATCTATATAGTATATTATTATAATTTTAAATATAAATATATTAAATAAGATAATTAACTTATTAAACTATATAGATAAGAGAAAGATATTAAATAATAAATATAGATTTTTATTAAGATTTATTAAACTTCATTAAATTAAAGTTTACTTATTACTAGTATATTAAGATTATAAGTTCTACTTATTAATATATATAAAAGAATAAGATAGGGCTGAGCTTAAAAATCCTGAATTTATATATGCAGTTAATTATAAATTCGAATTCGCTATCGGCTACGCTCTTTAATTAAATTAGCTAAGTTAGCCCGCTAGCTCTCTCGCGTCTTATTAAAAAAATAGATATATATTATTAACACATAGAATAAATTTTTTTTCTATTAAAATTTTAAGATTTTTCTTTTAAATTATAGAACGAAATGTGCGCTTTCAGATAAAAAAAGAATATTTAAATTTAGTCTTATAATTATTAAAGCGTAAGGACTTCAAATATCGCTCACCAAAGTTCGCTCGATAGCCGGACAGCCCTAATGCTAATCAGGTATACATTATTTGATTTTAGAATAACTTTTTTATTTTCTATTAAAATTTTAAGATTTTTTTTTTAAATTATAGAATAAAATGCGGGCTTTCTAATAAAAAAAAATTCTTAAATATAGTCTTATGATTATTAAAGCGTAAGGAATTCAAATATCGCTTACTAAAGATCGCTCACCTATTTACTCGATAGCACTGATTAATAAAAAAATTGTAAATTTAATTTATAGGGCTTTACTCGTATTATAATAATATCTTAATTAACATTTTAATATAGTTATTTTTAATTTAATTTAATAAAGATCTCGCGTATAATAAAGTTATTAATAATAAAAAGATTTTTAAATGTTATTAAATAGTATTAATAGTATTTAAAATATATTTTTTACTCTAATATATATAGTAAATAATTAATTTAAAAAAAAATCTAAAAAGAAAAAATCTAAAATAGAATTATAGAAAAAATCTAAAATAGAGAAAAATGAATTTCTTTTTTAAGATTATTAAGATAAAGAAATTACTAGAAGTACTAGCCGAAAAGATAGAATATATTTTATGAAATATTTCATATCAAGTAATATCACACCGTACTCGGGTATGGTATAGATAGAGTCGAATACCATACCATTTTTCTGGTATGAGTTCGATATCTTGGCGGTATATACCACGGTATAATATATCTATGATATCATACCATGAAATGGTATATGTATGGGATATTCCGACTGAGATTTCTATATTTAGAAGTATAAATAGCTATTCTAATTATCATTCTGGCCAACCATGGCTACCACTATCATGTATCATAGCTGCCACTACTATGGCTACCACTACCATGGCTGCCACTATTATGCCTACCATCGAAATGTGGAATGGGGCCCCCGCGCATCCCAGCCACCATGTTTTCCAGCCACCTGATTTTGTACTATATGGCCCGAAGAGGTTTTAGAGAATTAATCCGTCCGTTCTACATATCACATACCTGACATTTTAACAGCTACCACTATCATGGCTGCTACTATCATAGCTACTACTATATATTATTAATATAGTCTACTATTATATAGTAGTTATAATAGTAATAGTTATAATAGTAACAGCTATAATAGTAGTAGCTATTATATCGAATTTATCGAGTCGTTAACTAGAATAATAACGAGAATACTTTTAAATATAGAAATCTCAATCGGGATATTTAATACATATACTATATCATAATATAATATTACAGATATATTATACCGTGATATATATCGCTAAGATCTCATATTATATCAGATATGAGATTATGTAAATCTCTATCTTATTAGAATTCTTTTTTATCTAAAAGCGTAAGCTACGTTCTATAATTTAAAAAAGAAATCTTAAAATTTTAATAGAAAATAAAAAAGTTATTCTATATGTGAATAACGTATATTTACTTTTTTAATAAGAGGTCTTAAGAGAGCTAGCGAGCTAACTTAGTTAGTTTAATTAAAGAGCGTAGCGAACTCGAATTTATAATTAACTATATATATAATTTAAGATTTTTTAAATTAGCTCTATCTTATTCTTTTATATATATTAATTAGAGATTTAATAAAAGAAGTTAACTAAGCTAAAATTTAAGATAACTAGTCTTAATAAACTTAATAGTTATTTTAAGATAATCGAGATTAATAAGATAATTAGTTATCTTAGTTATTCTAGTTATTTTATCTAGAATATATATATCGCTTTTTTATTTCTAGATAGCTTCTCTTTTTAGCTAATAATATAATCTTTACTAATTATTCTAATATAGCGTTTAACTTCTTCTATTATTTTTATTTTTATTTTTAAATCTATAAAATAAATATATACTTTAAATTTAAACTATTTCTTATTACTCGATTAATTAAATTATCTTAATCTTTAATAACTCTAATTCTTAAACGCTTTAATAACTTATTCTACGTCTATTGCGTAGTATAAAGTATTAAAACTAGTATTAATATAATACTAGTATAGATAAGATAGATAGAATAATAAGGCTATCGAATTATATATCTAGAAAGAAGATATAATATAGTAGAAGATACCTTCGTTAAGGTACTAGGCTATAGGGCTAAGTAATAATATATTAAGAGTACGCTCGTAATACTACCCCTCTCTCTTAAATAGCCATAACCCCTCTAGCTAGTAGACCGGAGATGCAGGCCCATTACTTGCCTTACGTCTTCAAATCTCCATAGTCCCTACAGGCCTTGACTGGAGTAGATTTACCAAGATCTTTTCAGAGATTCTAGAGATATAGGCCATATCTTACCTGCGTGTCAGTAAGATTCCCTAAGCCCTTCTCCAGCTTTCTTATTATAGTCCTTCGAAAGAATTACGTATATATAATAGCCCAGTTGCTCGCTGAAAATCAATTAAAAATAAGAACTTTTAATAAAAGTTATATATAGAGGGTTATTTAAACTTTAATATTTCTAAGTTCTATAGCAATAGCCCTATAGGGCTAACTAGAGAACTTTACGTAAAATTATTAATTTCTTAATATTCTAATAACGTTATATATTTAATTAACTATTTAATACTTAATCTATATATTCTTCTATTAAAAAATATCTTATAGCTTTTTTAATATATATTTAATATAATAAATAAAGTTATATAAATTTTATTTCATCTTATAATTTCTATATAGTTTTTTTTAAATTCTTAATATTTATAGAAAATAACTTTATTAAAGTAATTCTATTTTTTATCTAACGCTAGACTTTTTTAATAGATATTAAATCGAGTAAAGAATTAAAGATAGTAATTAAAAGATAAATTTCTAAATTCTAGTTTAATTATATGTTAAGGAATAGTCCTAAGTGGAATCATATGCATGAATAATATATGTGTGTGGTGTGATAATGTATGAATTATAGGAGGCCTGCAGTAGAAGGCAATGCCGCAGTGCCAAGGCACTAAGCCCAATCGGGACGCCTAGTGGAGGAATCCGTAACAAATGCCACCGAAGAAGAAAAATGACAGCGTCCTCGCTGCAGACATGGAGACGCCAGAGATACATGAGGTGCCATAGGCCTGCTTCTCCCGATTCTTCCCTGAAGCCCACTAGCCTTGGCCTGTTGCCTCCATACCTCCCGCGTAGTGAATGTAGCCGGGTAGAGAGGCGAGAAGAGAGGCGAGAAGAGAGGCGAGAAGTGGAGCGTTACTGAGGCGAATGAGAGACTCTCCGCAAGGATGCATAGTAGCCTGGCGAGGAATAGTGGAGAGTGTGCCGGCTTGAATAGAACTGCTGCTGCCCGTGCTCTTGTTCTCCGTAGTCTTCTCCGCAGTTTTCTCCGCAGTTTTCTCCGCAGTTTTCTCCGCAGTTTTCTCCACAATTGACTGTTGCTGAGCGATAACCTGATACTCAGCAGGGCGGAGTTTGGGGGCGAATTACATTTTCATACCCCAAACTATGAGATTCTTATAAATTCATACCCCATCTTACATTTTCATACCCCAATGGGGTATGAATTTGTAAGATACCATTGACAGGGGTATGATTTTGTAAGATACCATTTATAGGGGTATGATTTTGTAAGTTGCCATCTATAGGGCGGGGTGGTATTAGGAATTATTCCTCCGAGGGCCCTGCGGGCAGGGCTGGCAACGGTGGAAATAGTTGGTTTTGGAGGGCAAACTGCACTAACTACTAGATTTGGAAATCGAAACTGCACCAACTACCATATATTGAAAACCAACTACCCCACTATCAGTGCACTGATAGTGGAGCAGTTATCCCCTTCCTTATGTTCGGGAGGTCCACGCTAGTAGGGGTTAAATATAGGGGTATGGATTGGTTAGATCGACGTTGCCGCGCTCATAGATAAGCAAAGTCTTAAGCCGCAGTGAATCGCGATCATTGGATAAATGATAATTCCTATATTTGACCCCCGCTAGCGTGGACCTCCCGAATACAAGGAAGGGGTTATATAATAGAAGCTAAAATATCGCTTAGTGGGGGGGGGGGGCTAATACCTATATCAAGTGTTAAGCCCTATCAGCCCTATTTCAGCCCTACTTTAACCCTATAAATGTTGACCTGTTAGCTCTTTTCACTCAAAAAACCGACTTTTTAAAAAGATTATTATAAACTACTCCACTATCAGTTAAACCAGTTGCTTTTACGGTTAGAACTGCATTAACTATCAACCGATAGACCTCAAACTACACTATCAACTACGAGAAACTAACGGTTTCACTGGTAGTGGACCAGTTAGTTGGTCCGAGGTCCACCATTGTCAGCCCCTGCCTGCGGGGCCTCTTAGGGGTGTCTGCAACGTGAAGTATAAACACCCCTATTTAACCCTTTAGCGGTAACTCGGGTTACTAACAATTGAGGTATCTAGATAGGCTGAAACACTCTAAAATACTCTTCTAAAGATTTATAGGTACTAGTACCCATTCGGTCTAGTCATGGGTATATGAAGGCATTCTCTGTACATAGATATCCTTCTTCCTTAGACATCATTAAGAATACCATATCTAGTGATAAGTCTCATTATAGCAGTAACTGCATACCCAGGTATTACCAACACTGATCAGTGTACTTCAATACTAGTACACAGATTAGCAAGGCCATACTCTTGAAGGAAGTCCGCCCCGATATCGCCGCGATAGCTTCACACGGTTCTATGTTACTCAATCGATTCCGCTCATTGTGACGATTCGATTGAATAGAACTACAATTTCTACAATTCCTACAACTCCTACCCAGCAGAGAAAACACCCGGAAAACACCAAACACCACCAAGCTTCACACCACATTAACACATAACACACACCCAAAATGGACTCCAAGGACAAGAAACCTGACTCTTCAGAGACACCGCCTGACACTATGACTCTACATCAACTAAAGGACATGCTAAACAAGGGAGTCGAACCAACAGATACCGATGAGAGAATCGAACAATTTGTCCGTTGGAGAATACAAGACTACAATGAAAACAAATGGGAGTCCCTCTCCGACATCTTTGCTGAGGAATTTCGACTATTCGCTAAGGAGGACTTTGAGGCCCTTTCCAAAGAACAGCAATATGGCTTACGAAACTGCCTACGAAACAATGGAGTCTATGTTAAGAAAGGACGAGGGGTTTCAATGGCCGAATCATTGGCGAATGTGGTCCAAGAAGAAACCCCATGGCCACTGGACGACGAGAATCGTCCTCCACCAAAGCATCATTACCCTCCTCAGCAGCAGCCTCAGCAGCCTTATCGACCGGAGAACACTGTTCCTCTCCCCCCGCAACCGCCTTATCAGCAGCCTTATCGACCGGAGAACACTGTTCCTCTCCCCCGCAACCACCTTCTCAACCAGAGAATCCTACTCCGATTCTCCCCCCAACCCCAAACTATGGCCCAAATCACCGAATCCCACACCTACTACCCTCGCCTTACCAAGTCATTTATGACTTCGGGACCAAACAAAACTATAGCCATAGCAAGGAACTCACTATATTGGCCAAATTATATACTAGCGAGGAGAAGTACGGTGGGAATCTTACCGAGAGTCTCAGCTACAAATTCATGATTTTCATAGACCTCTACACGAGAGCCGAGATCCCCCAGCAGATCCTTCAAACAGCATTCCCAACTATGTTGAAATCTATGGCACTGGAGTACTACTACTCTAGCTATCAAGGGACCAGCCTCACCATTCATTAACTCTTCGATCATTTTCAGGGCCATTTCGAGAGAGAAGAACACCGTCGCCTTATACTTCGTAAGTAAAATAGTATTAGCCTAAGAGGCTCACTCCAAGCTAATCCCGAAAAGAATAAAGGGACTGTTTTCAACGAGATGATTCTACAACTTCGTCAAGTCCAAAGAGGACTGGATTACGAATTTCAGTCAGATACAGCACTCCGGAACAAGATAGTCACCTCTTGCAGCAATATCCCTGCCTGTAGTGTTGCAATCTTGCAACAGACAACTACAATTGCGGGGCTAATCAACAATATCTATGCTGCAATCGAGAATCACGAAGAAGCCATGAAGGCTGAGAGATCCGAACCACTTTGGCCTGCAACATACTTCACTGACCGGAAGTATTACACCAATCGACCTCCAAATCAGGGCAACCACAGCAGACCGTCCCCGCAGACAAACAGCTTTCAGAAAAAGCGGTGCTTTGTCTGTGGGAAGACAGGCTGCTGGTCAACCAAGCATACCGACAAGGAACGCCAGGAGTCTCGAAACAAGTTCGCTAAGCGGTTTACCGGCTCCATTGACAAGCGATATGACTCCTACATTCAAGAGTTTGAAGGCCAGGAGGACGAGATCGAGGATCGAGGATCTTGAGGCCTTAACTCTCGATATTCAAGACAATGACTTGGAGGAGGCCGAAAACTTCATTACGACCACTTCCACAGTCACATCGGACCAAGCCCAAGCACGTTACTTGGAGCTTTCCAGCCATTCCACATACCACAATATCACCAAGTCTAGCAGCTTTCTCAGCACCAGCCGATACACCTCAAAGCAGTTCCATGGTATCATGCTAGATACCGGAGCCGCACGTATGTCCACTGCTGGATACGGTCAAGCAAAAGCCTATATGAGGGAATTCGATACACAACTGGATGTCACTGCTGGTAGCATCACTGCCCAATTTGGGATTGGGACAGCAGCATCAATTAGGAAACTCACAGTGGATTCGCCTGTTAACCGAGTCGATTTCCACGTGATGCAGACTGACACCCCATTCCTACTGTGCATTCAAGACATGGATAGGCTAGGGATCTACCTGAACAACCTCAAGGACCAAGTTGTTTTGAGGAATGGATCTACGGTCCCAATTGTCCGCTTCCACGAACACCCATTCTTGATATGGGGTCCCACATCAGTTAACTACCTGACCGACACCGAGTTACGTCAACTACATCGTCGATTCGGTCACCCCTCAGTCAATAGACTTGTCCGTACCCTGGAGAAAGCTGGGCACAGTGACTCGGAGCACCGTCATATACTTGAGCGAATTACCGAGTTCTGCACGCTTTGTCAGAAACACTCTCGATCCCCAGGCCGTTTCAAATTTTCGCTAAAGGACGAGGACAATGCTTATTTTAATCACACAATTATCATCGATGTCCTCTATATTGACGGTAGCCCAGTTCTTCAAGTCGTTGACGAGGGAACTTCTTTTCAGGCCGCCCGCTGGCTAACGAATATGACTGCCTCCCACACATGGGACATGCTTAGACTGTGCTGGATAGATGTATATGGCGGACCTCCAGATGTCATTGTCCATGACGCTGGGACCAACTTCGACAGTACCGAGTTTAGGCAAAACGCTAGAAATCTGAGCATTCAAACGAAATGCGTACCAGTTGAGGCCGCTAATTCTATCGGCCTAGTGGAACGATATCACACTCCATTGAGACGAGCCTATTTGATAATCACTGCGGAACTGGAGAACCAAGGCATTGGAAAGGAGATCCGCCTACAAATGGCTGTCAAGGCTATCAACGATACAGCCGGATATAATAGCCTCGTTCTTACATTGCTAGTTTTTGGAACCTTCCCCCGTATCACAAACGACGATGCACCCACTCTGTCTACTACTGAGAGGGCAAAAGCTATCACTATAGCAATGGCTGAAGTTGCAAAACTCCACGCTAAGAGACAAGTCAATGACGCCCTACATCAGCGGAACGGCCCCCAGACAATGAGGATGCATGATACTCCAATTGGTTCCCCGGTACTGATATGGAGAACGCATTAAAAGAAGTAGACTAGGCCATACAAATTGCTAGCTACTTCTCGAGAGACATGCACCGTCGAATTGTCAAATGGTCCTACAGATCTTCCGAATCACTATCGTCAAGCCATATTTGGAAGAAACAGACACCCCAATCGAGTCTCCCGAGTCCCCCGAACAAGAATCTCCACAGTCAGACGATACTCAACACGAAAATGACGATAACCAAGACCATCAAGACCCTCCTCAGGACGCTCCACTACGTCATAACCCTCCTCGACGTCGACATGCTCCCGCCCGTTTTCGAAACTCTCCTGACATCACGGTCTACATATCTAAGTCCATGCCACAGCCACCTTCACCGAACTTCCAGGCATCCCGGCAAAAAGAACTGAATGGACTACTTGAAAAGGGTGTATTTGAGATCATGAAGACCGAAGATATCCCCGCAGGAGCACGGATATTTGGTAGTCGTTTTGTGGACCAAATCAAGAATAAGGGTACCGAGAAAGCCTTCGAGAAGTCGCGACTAGTAGTCCAAGCATTCAATGACTCGGAGAAGCATGGGATTCTCACTCAGGCCCCTACCATTCAACGGGCCAGTCAACGGCTTATTATCGCCCTAGCGTTAGCTATCCCACAGCTATCTCTATACCTACGCGACATTACTCAGGCATACACGCAATCTCGGTCCGAATTGGCTAGAGATGTCTTTATTTTAGCCCCAGCTGAAATGGGATTATCATCGAGAACGATACTCCGTGTCATTCTCCCCCTCTATGGAATT